AACAAAGATGGACATATTATAAGAGTGTAATATTGTTATTTATTTTTAACCTTGATAGAGATTAATTTAAAGGTGAATAGAATTAATATAGTAGAATTATTGAAATTTATGTAAAAATATTTCTGCATTTTTCTTCATAATTCTCTTTTTTTCTCTTTTTATTTATTTAATTAATTAACACACATTATTAATTCATTCAATTATTTTCAAGTTGGTTAGAATTTGGACTAAATTATTTTATTCCGTTTTTCTAAAGTTAAGTCCCTCCCTTATTAGCAGTTTATTTCAATATTTAAGTCTCACTACTCCTTTACTTATATTTAATATTTGAAAATTTCGAAGAATTAACTTTTTGATTTTAGTAAATTTAAAATCTCTTTTATTTTCATCAGAAAATTTTTTAATTCTGGCTGTGTTTTCATCAAACCAATTTCTTATTTTGTGGATTATTTAATTAACTTCTCTGTCTCTCGGAAGGATATATCTTATCTATTAATGGTTTGATCCACCTCTTACCCAATCACTGATGGCCTGAGAAGCCTTCGCTATTCAAGATAATAAAATATAAGATAAATAATTCTTATTATTAGTTTCTAAGATAAATTCCTTAATAATTAAGGTTACTTCATATGATTATCATATTCAATTTCACAGAAAAGCAAAATGTAAAATAGATTTCCACTTTTTTTTCAAGATTCTTTATATTTCAAAGCGCTTTAGCTCTTTTTAGATTAAAAATGACCGGTACTGGTCATAATATAATTTTATTTTTAGTTTAAATGTTCTTATTTTACCCACTTTTATAATCATCATTCTAAAATTAAAAATTTGAACTACGATTCCAAAGTTGGTATTTTGAGCTTATTTCAATTTCATTAGGAAAGAGTTCTAAGTTTTTACAGTTTTTCAGGTTTGTTTATTTTAACAGTTTTTACATTTAAGTTCAATCTTTTATTTTCACCAATTTAAAATATACATTTTCGCATTTATGATCACTATGTTCAATTATTATAAAATTAAAGGTCTTTAAGCTTCTTAATTTTAAAGATAATTAATTTAGTATGTGGCTAAACATGGTAGCTGAAATAATAAAGGTAGTATTATTTCTTTTTTTATTAACATTCTTATTTCGAGAATAAAAGTATTAGTAATAAATATATTTACATAGAATTTTAGGAAAGCCCTTATATACCGTTTGTATGATTAGATCGTATAGTTATTTTTTAATATTACCTGCATTTCTGAAAAAAATCTAATTTATTAAATTTTTATAATTCTAAAAATGTATTAAGATTACTTAACAAGTTTAATCCTGGTCTGTTGGTCAAGCCATTTAGTGAATCAATTATTATTTTTTAAA